TATCTAAAACGCTATGTTATGAGGCCTTCACATAAAAGCATTCCTGCGACATTGTACATTACAGACAACATTTCCGCCTGAATCCTTTCATTGTCCATATGCTACTATTTCTGCTTCTCTTGTATTACTCCGGCAATAATACATTCGGCACATCTATACCCCTTGCACTTGCGCCTAATTAATGGCTTTCTGGTTCCTTTAGAATGTAGCCCTTAATTGTTCACATAATATTATTTCATAGAGATCTATACTCATCAATGACTGTTGTCGCCCAAAGAATAGGAACCGAAATTTGGAACACATAGCCCGGAATTCACACGCTTTTGCATTTTCGATGGCCAAATTGTAGGAAAATCCCTATCTTTCAGAGGATGGTTCCTGAGAATATCTGTATCCCTCATACAATAGTGTATTTTGAATATCATTGCACTCCACAGAATTCCACTTCTAATTTTCCCTTCTCTCTACATATCACATGAGTTCAGGGACAATAATTTCTTTCAAATGAATGCGCTACAACCTTTCTGTTAGTTATAAAATATTTTCCCCTCCTTACAATAACAGCATAACCGGTAAACCTATACAATAATATTCCTGATAAAGCTGTATTCTTTACCAGCATCGACACTTTAGACACATGTTTACTCTTTATATCATCATACCTTTCCTATAATAATACACTATGTATATTCCTCTACTTGATACAAGTGTTTTATTCATACAATATCATCGTAGGCCTGGATGACGGATAAAGATAATGATACGGCATGCTTGTCCATACACTTTAAATCATAGTACTCCCGGTACAGTAGTATTCACTTCACAATGTCATGCTTACTATATTGATACTCCGCAAAGCTCCCCACTATTCACATAATAGTACTCTGGGAATGTTACGACTAGAAGCCAGTAAATAATTCTCACACAATACTATTTCACGCACATGTGTAAACTTGCTCGGGCGGTACTCCCCCAATCATGCAGTTTCACACATTATACGGCTGTTAATATAATAACACTCCAGGGAGTGCTATGAATTCCGGAATAGGATCCTTTGCCTATAATATAAACCTAAACGGTAGGTCATGAAGTTCCAAAGTTTTCAATAACTTTGTTCTTTCGATATCCAGAGTCTCAACACAATTGTGCACTCCAAAACATCACAGTAGGGAGATATGAGTATACTCACAGGACTTCGCCGCAGATCATCCGTACGTCTTATACAATTATGCCCCTAAATGGACAGTACTTTGCAGATATCAGTATAGATCAACCATTAATACCCACATATAACAGTACTACGAGAATCTGCGCATTCGTCAACATGGGAAATAGGGACACATGTATACTTCCTTGTCATCTACCCTTGTCGAATATGTATGCACTTTATAGAATATTACCCTACGAATAATGACACTCCTCGGAAATCAGTATTCTTGACACTATAATACGGTTAACATTATAGTACCCCTGGGATAGCTCTACTGTTTAGACAATAGGTTTGGAGGCCAACTGTCGGATCTGCAGAATGGCCCAAATCATATCATCCAACCATTAAACCAACATGACGACCCTTCAAATAATGTTATTCCAAGGACAGCTGTACTCATCAGGACAAACTGTTCTGTACATAACATCAGTGTTTTTCAAGTAATCGTGCAATTCACACATCCATGTGTCCCACAGAAGTGTACCTCCCATACGGAGGTACTACGGCAACTTTCACACGTTGCGTAACGGTTTGCCCTCCTCATACGGCACAAAGCTAAGTCATGAATTCTATACCCCTCTTTACTTAATAATACCGGCTTAACTTTGGCACTCATCAAATGGCATGGTACAAGCCATATTAGGCATCTTTAGATATGAGTATTATACATACATCTGTAGTGTCCTCATAACAGTACTCCAAGTCATGAATACTCCTTCAGCAAATATCCTGTTCAAATGGAAGTATTATCCACACGACACTACTGTAAACATGACGGTACTTCTTGTATTATCGTACTCTATCAGAGATTCGTACTGCATTCGTAATCTTACTCATAAAGGCAGGAAACTCCACAGATCATGGTTCCGTTATTATAGTAGTACTCAAGCTGATCCATATAGCTCGACTACTCATACTTTCATAGAACAGTACTATGGGGACTTCCGGACTCCTCACCATTGAAAAAGTATAGACAATGGTACTCCCTAAACAATAGTTATACTGGAATATCCATGGACTTCACAGAATAGGGCCGTCCATGTAATGAAAGCATAAACCCTGAATCCTTCCCATACACTAGGATATGGACGACTGTACTCCTGAAATAATAAGAGTACACGTATAACCCCGCGCATCACTACCGAGGAAAATCCACAGCAGTATTTTACAAGTAATGGTACCCCAAGTGTATATCCTGTGTTCAAATACCAATAGAATAAGGTTGTTACTACTCTCGACATATAAGAATTACAAACACCTGGGTACGTTCCATATACAGTAAAACTGAAGGATATCCTTACCCTTTACGCAGATGTGCTCCTCAAATAAGGGCACTGCAGGCGCAATGGAACCCTTCAGATAACACTCTTCTAGAATATCATTAAATTTCACATAGTATTGCATTCAGCATGTCAGTGGACTCAGCAGAATGGCACTCTCCATATACTCACGCTCTTCACGTGGAATAGACACTGGTATATTCGTACTCCTCAAATAAATCTGCTCCAGCCGGTTTGGAGGGTTCAAATCATTTAGTTGCTCCTACATTACTTGTATTATTCCTCATCACCCATAAAATGATATCGCTGGTATAGCTGTATACTTCACAACCATGGACACCTGCGATATATTCCAGCCGCTTATACACTTCTTCTCCTTATATAATACTACAACACGTATATCTGCAAGCTTCATCCAATGATTTCATTCATATAATAGTATTCTTGAAACACACATACACTGCAGAAATAATATTAGCTCATGCATGTCAGTACTATTTAAATCATAGTCCTCCGGGCACAGGTATACTCATCCCCACGATGTTATTTCTTCCATATCAATACTTTGCACACAAGCGGACTATTCATATGATAGTACTCTGGGAATATCAACACTTGAAGTTAAAAAGTTATTCTCACACAAGCGTAATCTAAGGATATCCCTACACATCGTATAGCGGTGTTGCTAAAATCATGAAGTATCACGTAATGCACCACTCTTAATATAATAATACTTCAGGGACTGCTAACAGTCCGTAACAGTAGTGTTCTTTGTATAATAAAGTTGGGAATGCTGGGCCTCGATGTTTAGACTCTTCACATAATCGTGCCTCAGGCACATCTATAATCTGTGCACCATTGTGTTTCCTCAATGACGCTATTACGCACATATGAGTATACTCACAAAATACGGTTGAAGATTATGCATACTTCTAACCGAGGTATTCTACTGAGACATCAATGCACAACAGATATTACCAAAGCTGAAGTATTAGTAAATTCATATAAGAATACAGGACGAGACTTCGGCAATCTTCACTATTGGAAATCAATACACATCCGTATTGTGCACGCAATTGCTTTGCTGCCATATCCATACACTGGACGAGATAGTGTTTTCCAAATAATGACACTCCGGGAATATCACTATTTCACACACAAAAGTACTGTTCACATCATAGTACTATTGGCACCATAGTACTATCGAAATCATTGTATTGCTGACATCCGTTAGCCGCTGTACGATCCCGCACTTCATATAATTGGGCCATTAGACATAAATCCAGGCCCTTCACATAATGCGACTTCAAACACAGACATGCTCATCTAGGGACAAAATTCCGTATATAACCGTAATACTCCTCAAATGACGCAACACTGAACAGGTCAACGTGGTTCATACCATAGTATCCCTCATATAGAACTATTACGGGAACAGTCATACCATCCATAGGGTAACTCTGTGCATAGAATAAGACATTATGCCATATATCTTATCGACTTTAACATACATTACTTGACACTATGGTGTTAAGTTTGTCACTGTTCGAATAGTAACGTACCAGGGATCTTAACACTCTGCCCATATGAGTACGGAATATACACATATACTCTTCACAGAATGATACTTCGAGTCATCGATACTTCCCATACAACTGTGCACTCCGAAGGGAGGTATTATCTAAACAAGAGTATTGTTAACATAACGGTATTACCTGTACACGCATACTTTCCAACAAATAGTACCATAGATATAGTCCCACTAATGAAGCTACCTAACGGCAGACACAATGCTATCCGTAGCACAACTTCACTCCTGGAACGTCAATACATGAGAAAGAAATGTACTCTTAAAATCATCATACTCCCCATGTACCAATACTCTTTAAGTAATAGTATTACAGATGGGCCCTGGGAGCTCCGCAATCCCGCAAGTGTTCTAATGAAGTCATTAAACTTACCTCAGGACACTTGACATCATGATAATCCAAGGATATGCTTATTCATCGAGGTACACCGCCCCCCACATAACAGTAGTTTTCTTCAATTGACAGTGCACTTCACACATTAGCGCACCCGACACAGAAGTATCCTTCACATAAAAAGAATACCGGAGCTTGTTCACTCTTCATAAGATACCTTTCCCCAAATGATAAGAGGTTACGCGAAATATATCCTATCACCCGAATACATCACTTAATACGATTGTTTCAACTTCGATATTCTCCAGATAGAGATATGCCACACACGTCAGCTAACTCCTGATATCAGTCCTATACATTCGTGTGTACTCTCCTCATATTGGCATTGCAAAGCATAAATATTTATTAAGAAACCGTGCTATTTCAATAGAAGTATTATCCACGCGACAATACCCTTAACATGACCGTAGTCATGGTACAGACGTACTCTTCCATAACATACTACTTTGAATATAATGATATTTATTATGCCATAGCTCACAACACATAATGGTACACCTTAGTATGATTGCA